CGACAAAAAAAAAAAAAGAATCTTGGAATACCTGAATGGAAGTAAAAGAGCCTTTATTATCCCACTACCTACACCATTTACTCTGTCCTGCTTAATGGCAATTCACTATTAAATGTACACACTGGACTAATTTTCCCACACTCCCAGAAGACAACTACATACGTACCTTGTGTGCATGTGTGACTGTTTTCTCCTGGAGATCAAACCCAGGGCCTCATTCATATACGCTAGGCACATGCTCTACATTTGAGTTTATACTAGCCTTCATTTTGTTTTTTTGGTTTTTTTTTTTTTTTGGTGGTCTTGGGGCTAGAACTCTGGGCTTGGGCGCTGTCCCTACGCTCTTCAGCTCAAAGCAACCACTCTACCGCTTGAGCCACAGATCTCAGCTTCCTGAGTAGCTAGGATTATGGGCATGAGCCACCAGCACCCAGCTTAACCTTCATTTTGTTAGCATCCAGACCATAGTTCAAGCCCCATGAGTGATTGGAGGGGGAGGGAGGGGGAACAGACTAGTGGATTTTTCCCCAAGCCCAGTTTCCCATTTAATGTCCTAAAGCAGGCATACGATATCTCCTACTTACGGAGATTGTTTAGTTTTTGCGGCTTTTTTTACTGTTCAAATTAATGCTGCAACAAGCATACTTGAGGCTAGATTTGTACACAATTGGGCACCTGAATTTTTCTTTTTTTCAGTGAAAGGGATTGATCTCAGGGGTTGCTTCATGAATACTAGGCAAGCTCCCTATCGCTGAAGTACACCCTCAGCCCTCAATTATCTCTTTTGAATGTATGGAAGAAATGACTGGACCAAAGGACATGCCAAGTGCAAATGAAAGGGTTTGCTGCCTAGTCAAATTTGGAAGTTTTTAGAACAAAGCACTTGTACATACACATGACAGATTCTAAGAAGGTGGAGGACTCTTAAGTTTGAAGTCAAGGTCAATTTTTAGTAAGATCCTGCCTCAAAAGAAAAGTACAAGACAGACAGCAGTGGCCTATGACTCCTAACTACTCAGGAGGCTGAAATCCAGGAAATCATGGTTCAAAGACAGCCTAGGTCTGAGATTCATCTCTGACAAACCAGCAAAAGTGGTAAGTGGAGGTATGGCTCAAACGGTACAACACTAAAACCCAAGAGTGGTAAGGAAAGTACTACACAGAGTCCGGTACCCTATTAGCTACAATTTCTCAACACATGATTACATGTCTTCTTCCTCCAAGGAAATGTCTATAACTTCCTTCAGAGGAAGAAAGGAGGCAAAGTTCCACATCCAGTTAATCCTCAACTACATGACTGCTTTTTACCTATTCTTCTCCCTCTTGTTCTCTTCCTTTAGCTACTGACACACTGCAGGGGAAAAATTTAAAATCTAAATCTTATGTTTATGCTCTAGAAAGGACATTCTCAAATTACATACCTCATCTCGTCTTCCACCATTAAAAGAAGAGCTAAAGAGTTTGCTGCTGCCGCCGCCCCTTTGAGGAGGCATCTTATTAAAAGTTTTGCTTTTCTGTGAATTGGAGCGACGGGACTGGTTGCTAAAATTTTCATTTTTGGGGTAGGAAGGTTCACGTTTGCGATTATAACGTTTGGATCCATTTGAGTTCTTTCCATCTGAAAGCAAAAAAAAACAGGAAATATGTTAAAAAGACATACACCTACATATATACACATATACACACACATAAAATTTTTCTCCACCTCTAGCAAAATATGGTTAATAATAGTGTTTTTTTTTTTTTTTGTCGGTCATGGGGCTTGAACTCTGGGCCTGGGCGCTGTCCCTCAGCTCTTCAGCTCAAGGAGAGCGCTCTACCACTTGAGCTACAGCGCCA